AAACTGAATTAATAGCGACTATTAAAGCAGAAATTGAAAAGATTGAATTGTCAATAAATAAATACAACATATTTTATTATTAGGAAAAATATACATTCACTTTGAAAAACATACGCAATCTGACTTTTTAATATTATGACTTGGTTCATGATGCAAAGGGCAAATGTCATTTGTAATATCGACTATTCGTAAAACGGATGTTTGCTGGGTTTTTACACATAGTATTACAAATAGTTTCTGAAAACCAGACTAACGAGACTACTTTGCTGCTGCTGTTAGCATTGTTGGAGTACGTTGTTGCAAGCTAGAGGATAATACGACAACGCTGGCTAGATGCCACGTTACGTAATCGTGTCCTTGTAAACAGAGTTGACTTTACCGTTAAGCAGGTTAAATTACCGTTATTCTAGTGAAGTTAAGTCACTTAAATGATAAATGACTTAAGCCTTTATCTAGCTATAATTGACTGGTTCACGTCAAACTTTTAACTAGTTAAGTGGATCTATATCTAGATAAAAGTTCAACGTGAACCAGGCTAGCGTCCCGATGAGACAGTCGGTGGTGTCGTCCCAGAAGGGGTTATTGTTTATATGACTTTGTTTTAGGCGCGATCTACAAATTATCCCCAACGACAGAAACGCGTCTGGGAAAACCATGTATTACAAACGCGTCTGGGAAAGCGATCGTCTAATTATCGTGCCTCATGAATATTAATAAGCTAGTCGGAATATGTCCCAGACGCATCTAAACGGGTTTGTGCTGTTGAACGCGTTCGCCATTGTTTCTATTGTTTTGGGCAACAAACGCGTCTGTGTCGTTAGACCAGGCCCCGGTTGAACTACCGTTTTTGTACAAAAATACTAAACAAGTTTTTCTTTAAAATGAACCAAGTTCAAAGTTTAAAGGCTGCATAGTCCTAATAGTTAAATTAAGTGGTAATGACGATAATGGCAGCACATGCATGTAGGCCTAAGTGCCGTTTGCTCTGTCGGAAAGACCTATCTTAGTTAAATAGCAGCCTACCAGCTAAGAAGCTGACGACGAACGAAAAAACATTTATCAACTCCCTGCACACATATCACATGGGAACACAAATGGACGCCAGTATTCGCCAAACAATATTCAATAAACTATAGAGAAAATAGAACATCTATTTTCTCTATTATTAAACGTAGGCATCAATATATATTATATACAGCAACTAGGCCTATGCAACTACTGTACAATTAATATTGGGTACCTTGTGTGTGGATGTGATCAGTCCAACAGAGTACGCAACATCACGTGACAAATGTCACTGACTGTGTGGCCGATGTTGATCTATACATGGAGGAAAAAACTTTCCTCCTTGGTCTAGAGAAATTCGCTTTGAGCGCCGCTCTGACAGAAGTGGGTCAGTTGAGATGCTAACAATAGGACGTTCGATGGAGTGCCTGGATGCCAGTTTAAAGTATATTATCTGATTCTTTGAACGCCTCCTTCAGGAATGTAAAAGCGTTGCTGCTCCACAAGAAGGGAATAGCCGACTGCCTTGTTCAGCAATATGAACATGTGCCATGGTTTAACCATTTTTAAAACATAATAATATATATAATAATACAAACATGTATTAAATTCATATAGCCTACACAGTAAAACACAATGCCGTAGCATACGTTGTTCTACGTGCGATATCACATGATCGCCACAACTGCGGCTGATCCAGGTCAGTGTGTACATGCTGTATTGTGCGGGCTGTGCAGGCACGTGGGAATTAGAAAGTTGGGCAAAAGGTACTTGTTTTGATAGGTCAATTCGAACATCGCACAATATAATCTGGGTAGCAAGGTTACTGGCGATTGCTTTCTCTTCTGTAAAACCTACAGGTAACGGTAGGGCTTAGCCTACTAAAATACAAGAAACATTGGGGTTTCCCCAACAAGAAAAATAATTAAATTTAGGCCTTTATTATAAACATTTCTTCGTAAACTGTCACCTAGCGTAGGCTAGCATTTTACTACCAGGCTACTACTATTATAAATATAGGCCTAGGCCTACATAGCCTAGGTACGGTAGGGACACTGAACAAGTTTTGAAGTTGTTTAAATCACGATCAATTCCAAATTTCGTTGAACGCGTTTAACATTTTGCCATTCACGAGCAGTCAGCCATATGAAAAGGGGAGGAGTTAACTTCCAAACGGAATAAACGGCTCAAATGACAAGCTTCCAAACGGCATTTCACAGACGCGTTTGGGAGCTTGTCATATAACAATAGTAAACGTGTTTGACCCGTTTCTGTCGTTGGGGATAATTTGTAGATCACGCCTTATACCTTTTGTATGAATAAAGGATCATCACAAGTTGAGATAGTGTTGTGCTATTATTTTTTACTCTTTCATACAGAGTTAGGACAGCCGACTGAGTTAAAGGGTGCTAATGCACTTTCGCACCTAACTTTTAATTCTTAATTTTTTTACCTCAGTGTTCTTTTCACAGTCACAACATTAATTATAAAACATTTTTACATGATTCAACCACTTACAAAGTACATTTTTCAACATAAAAGATACCTTTATAAACACAGGTTGATACAGCGTTTCCGCGCTTGCTAGCATGACGAGCTGTACTATTTTGCAATCAATTAAGAAATTGCCAGAATGTCTGAGTCAATTCTTAAATTTTGAAACAATTTAAGGCCAGTCTTATAATTTTATTTGATCAAAATTTTCCCATGAAACATCCAACAACAAAATGTGGCATCATGCAATACCATCTTTTAGAATTTTCTTGTCGTAATCGAGGTGAATCAAACCAACGTTTATCATTCGCTTTGATAGTTGTTTTGTTGGATTAGGCCTAGGCCCTGTTTGGATATTTTTGTGTACACATTTGGATCGTTACTATTTTTTGAAGTAATTATTGTACATTGGAATATCACGTGAACACACATACTGTAATATACTGCAGTCAAACAACAACACCATACAATATAACACATAACTGAAATGATATACGAATGCAAATAGTTTTCATAAACATTTAATCAAGAAACTTCATGCTGCAAACTCAGACATTCTGGCAATTTCTTACTGATTGCAAAATGGTTGATTTGCTATACTTATTTGTGGGATTATTTGTTGAAAAAGGTACTTTGTGTGTGGTTAAATCAAGTGCATTTTTATATATGTTATATAAATTTATAGATATAATACGAAATTTGCTAGTTTAACTGAATTTAGAGATTCCTAAACATGAAAAAAAATGTTAAAACAATACTGAAATTTGATTTTTTTGTGTTCCACACAAAAAATAAATGCGCATGAATTTTTTATGTTCAATGGTCAATGGTCGTATATTTATATAGCGCCTTCCACAGAAAACCGTCTCAAGGTGCTTTTGAAGCCACAAGAAACAAAGACAAAATACGCAAAAGGGGAGGAGTGCGCACCCCCCCCCCTTTTGAGATAGCGTCACCATCACTACTGTGTACACACAGGTACCTCGGGTCAGTTTGTTCAGCTCCAGTAGCTTCCACCAAGGATAAGTCTATGGCTCCCCTACCGTGCACTGCTAAGTTGGCGGCGCTACCTCAAGTAAGGAGGTGCAACTTTTCAGGGGAAAAAAACTTGACTACAAAACAACTTAACTACAGAAATTTAACTACAGAGATTAACAAATAAATGAGAATTATTAACTATGAGAAAGTTAACAAAGATTGAAGAGATAAGCCTTCAAATTCTTTTTTAATACAAGGAGTGAAGGTGCTTTAGCATGAAGATCAGCCGGTAATGAATTCCACAACTTTGGGGCAGCTACAGAGAATGCCCTGTCGCCGTAGGTCTTGAGACGTGATGCGGGAACTGATAGTATAGACGTGTCAGTGGTTGATCTCAGAGACCGAGAACATGTTGCAGAACGAGAAATAGTTAAACCATGTATTGTGGAGCATTATGGTTAAGGGCCTTGTATGTGAGGAGTAAAATCTTGAATGAGATGCGCTTGTTTATCGGTAACCAGTGTAGTCGATTGAGGATAGTTATTAATGTGCTCACGTCTAGATGTTCCGGAGACGAGCCGGGCTGCTGTGTTAAGACATAGCTGCAATCTTCTCAACCGTCTAGCAGGAATACCACAGAAAACAGCATTACTTTTCCAACCGAGATGTAATAAGAGCATGCACTAATTTAAGAAGAGCGTCATTGGTCAGGAGCCTTTTAATGTGCCCGATGTTACGAAGGTGATACGTAACAGACTTGCAAATGTTGGATATGTGTTTCCCCATAACATATTAGAGTAAAAAACAACTCCAATATTGCAAACTTCTGATGATAGAAGAACATTAGTCTCGGCTCCAATCGCGATGCTATTGATTGCAGGCAGTGTTGAAAAGTACTTTGAATAAATACATAGTACTTCAGTCTTATTGGGATTGAAGCAGAGTATATTTTGTGATAACCAGGCTTGTATATCTCTAAGACATGCTTCAATTGTATTTTTTGCCTCAAACCAATGATTAACTTGAAAGCTAATATATACAGTTGAATATCATCAGCGTATGCATGATACTGAACACTGTGACTACTAATGTTTGATTTTGCGATTGGTCTGCCAAGAAATATAGTAGGCACCAGAAACATTTGCCTATCCAACACTGCTAGGCTAGGCTTAGCCTTACCTTGATTTAGGTTCTGTTATCATACATATAAAAGGCCAATGCGATATTTTCTGTTGCTATACTTCGAGAAGAGTAGGGGGTTACCCCGGTGTATTGGTCCATTCAGTCCCCTGTCCCCTGCAGATATGCCACATAGGATAGTGATTTAGTTCACTTATTGGCATATCCTTGACTCTCGTGCCTAAAGAAATGAAAGAAAATGCACCATACATTTTTTTTTAATTCTTTTTTTTTTTGTGAAATTTTGCCAGGAATGGGGCTTTAAGGTATTAAAGCTGATCTCATATTGCACTAAAAAATAGTATGTTTTTACTTTTCATTTTTTTGTTTTGTTTTTGTTTCAGGTGGGGTCATTAGAAGCATGTTTCTTAGCAAAGAGAGGGTTCTCTGTAGATTTGTATGAAGCCAGAGAAGGTTAGTAATTGTTGTATACAGATACAAGTTAGGTTGAATTTTTACCTCAACCAAGTCATTTAAACCAAAATTTATACTAAATAAATAAAACTAAAATAGTTATTTTTAATCTGATAATTTTAACAATTAAAGAAGAGAGATCCAGGATACTTAGTTTAATTATTAAAATGTTCACTGCATATTTTAACATTGCAATGAAAACAAAAAGAATAGAGTTTGACTCTCCTGATTTTGATTTCTCACAATGGATTGGAAAATAATACATAATCAGTGTTCTCCCCAGGATGAGGGTCATGCATCATGGTACCTTCCCCTCCCCCCTTATCCCCACCATGGTTGGTGACCTACATTCCCGGATATGGCACTCTCAGACATCAAAAATGCTTTTTAAGATTTTTGAAGTGACTATAGATTTCCATTTTTTAACAAATGTTTTTGTGAAATTAGTGACCATGTACTACTATTATAGCCTAGCCAGAATTGCCACAGGATGGCAATTTTGGGCCGACCTAGTTTAGGCCTAGGCCTAAATTTTTGCTTCAGACTGCTTGGCAAGTCAAAACTTTGGACTAAAAAACAGGCCAGTAGTAAAAAAAATGAACGCAAAAAGATCAAGCATGAACTTGGGCTGATAAACTAACATCGTATAAAAGCATTGTTTTGTGTTTAAAAATATTTTCACACTCACTCTTCTTCAAACTAGCATACATGGACAGCATTGTTTATTTTGAATTATTTTATTGACGGTATTTTAAAGCGTCAGGGAAGACGCATTGAGCTTCACGGCCAGCTTAGGAGTGCCACGGTAAGGTCTCAAGCGTCATGGTACCGTGACGCTTCAAGGGCCTGAGGAGAACACTGCATAATGGAAAAACCAAGCAGGCATTCTTTACACACAGTGCTTGCTCGATAGGCCATCGTTATCAACCAATGTTACAAACCTTTTCCATTCTATACTCTTTTCCATAAGCCAAATTTGATGTAAAGTGTTGCGTAAAATATTTATAGGAGTGATGTTTTGTAATTACTCTGATGTTTTAACTTAGTTATTAATAATTGTATAATTCAGGGCTTGTTATTTGAAAATGGCCTGTGAGCTGAAAAACGCACACCTATTTTTATTTAGGCGAGTGATTATGTGGGGGAAGGGAAAATTGAATGTTATAGTTAGTATACACATAAATACTACTGCAGTCATCAAAATGGGATTAGAGTCCAAAACAACACAAAGCACATCCAAGCAGAAAGCATGGCACAGTATTTGGGGTTTTTACTAGATAAAAGGTGAATGATCTTCAAACCCAAGTTGCCTCATTTTTTTCAAACTCCTGAAGAGGATTTTATGTGAGTGATGGTGTGTGAGAACAATCACTCGCCTCAAATCACAAGCTCTGTAGTATATGTTTTGTTAAATAAAGTTAATTATTAATTATTAATAATTTTAGAAGTTAAGAATCCTTAGAAAATATGTAATTTCTTAATTTAATTGTTAATTGATAGAGCATAATAATAATCTCCCTGAAGTTGAAATAGTAAAAAGGAAAATACTATTTATTAAAAAATATAAGTATTATAGCAGTTTTCTTTACTTAACTTATTAAACTTGACATATTAAATTTACTTTTAAATATTACAGACATTCGTTTGTTGGAACATGTGAAAGGGCGGAGCATAAATTTGGCTCTCTCTATCAGGGGTAGAGAAGCATTAAAAGCAGTTGGTTTAGAGGAAGAGGTAAATAATTTAAAAAATTTACATCTACTTTTGTTGTCTTTTTAAAGTTATTTACCGTAGTACTTAACAAAAACAATGAAAATGAGGTTTTGTATTTCATTCTAAGAAGGAAAATTTTTAATGCATTACTTTTTTAAAAATTAAATTGCTGGATGGCTTAGCTTAACCCCTAATAAATCATTCAACACTATTAAAAAGCAAATTTGCAATGAATTACCTGGCCTGAAACTTTTACAACTACCAGCAAATCTTCTTTAAGCTTTTGCTCATTCCCTATCAAGGCAAACCGTGTGGTTTGAATACTATACTATACTACAAAAAAATATCACTGTTTTTTATTATTATTATATCCTGTGGTGTATCTTCTGCTGTGTGTGTGTGTGTGTGTGCTGTGTGTGGAGAGGTTGTGGGATACCCCAAAAAATATTGTCTCCAAGCACCCCCACCCCTCCCAAAAAAAAAATCATGCTTAAGTAGTTAAAAATCACCACAGATCACTTATTTTGGGAGGTTGCACTCCTCGCTTTATCAACGAGCCCCCCTCCCCACTTCACCTTCTACCCTCATCAGCCCTCAATTTCAATACTCCTAGATACGTCACTCCTAGAAATCCAAATATACCAATTAGAAAATGTAATAAATCAAGCCATCTGTATGACCTCATAATAATGCTGGTTAGATAATTCTCACAACAATTGCCACCTTCACTTGTTGACATTTTCAACATTGTATTATGTGATCAATTTTCCAAAGAGCTGAAAAATTGATACTGTTGTTGTGACTGAAAAATGCAAACCTGATGTACTGAATTTTATATTATTTTTCTTTGGCAATATGTACCTTAGATTGCTATATTGGAGATGGAAGATTACTAAATACTGTAATTTAAATATATATCTAATACTTATTTCTCCATCAGGTTGTGGCCAGTGGAATACCAATGCGTGCACGTAGGATACATGACACCAATGGAAGATTATCTTCACAGCCTTATGGTACCGAGGAACAGGTACTGTAAATATAGCTAATTGTAATGCTGCTCAGCACTCGATTTAGCTGCACAGTAGTAGTGCTGAAAACCTGACCAATTAAATTCTTATTGTCCATGTATTTCGTTTTATTGTCTTTTGTTTTTGGAAAGATAACCAGTCAAGGAGAGCCATGTAATTTTATTTTATTTTTTTTATGTGATTTTGGCAATAGACCGAATTAGTCACTAACACAAAGACCTTGTACTGAGTATAGCATCAAAGGAAACCGCTAGGAGACAGTTTTTTCACACAATAAGCCTCCGTTTTAAAACTCTTCCAACTTATTTATTTGTACATTTTATCATAAAATAACATATCGAAAAGCCTTGGTAAATATTTCTTTCATAAACGTCAGAATTTGACCACATTAGATTTGAAATGGAGCAAAATAAACAGATGGAAAACTGTAACATGTTTGCAAAGCCTCGTCGCGTGATCATGGGCCTAGCCCTAGATTAGAGAGTCATACAAACAACGTTCTTCTGACACATTGGCCATCATATTCAAAAGAAACATCTTATTCAACAATTCAGCAATTTAAGTTTGTCTAATAGTTTAAATATATCATACAGAAATTCAGATAGTATTAAGCTCAATGTGTACCGGTAAATCAACAAAGATTGCCAGTCAGCGCTGGATGTGGCGAGTCTCGCGAGCGATTGGCCTAGGCCCAATAGAAGACCTCTCAAAACACTTCATATTTTTAGTCTGAATGGATATGTAAATCAAGTCAACCTTAGACTTATGAATCTATGAATCATTAAAAATGTATAAGTTATAAAAAGTATCTTCTATGCTATCTTCATTACAATTTAGACAATTTAATATACACCACTTTCGACTCCACTCAATGCATTAGCAGCTCTTTGTGGTTTGTTGACAAATTCATACCCACTCGGCTGAAATGTGATGACGTCATCTTTGGTGACTAATTCTGTCTATTAGAATATTATGGTTGTCTTGTTCTGTTACGTGCTATTTGTTTATTGTAAGCTTCTTTATCATTGTATGTATTGTTTGGTTTTTTTTTTACCTGGAAATAAATAAATATTGAAAGTGAATTTTTTTTAAATATGGGATAAATTTGTGTCAGATTTATCTGCACTGTGAAGTTTTATGTGACAAATAATTTGCACATATAATTATAAAGTATGACCTCGTCATGGCCTTCCATATGGGCAAATCACAGATAGTAAGTGGAGTTGAGTTCAGTGGTGAAAACAAATCTTGATTATGAAGTTTTATGTTTTATATTTGTAGAAGGCTGAAGGCATTAATGGAAATAGTACAGGCCCGTAGCCAGGGGGGTTTTTTGGGGTTCGGGCGAACCCCCCTTTTTCAGCGAACCCCCCTTTTGCCAGCGAACCCCCTTAACCAGAAAACGATCCCCCGTTTCCAAAATAGTGCAATTTATTACACAATAGGAGCATTTTGGCACTGTTTATTTGTCGCTATCGTTCGTAGTCCGATCGTAGAAATAAAAAAAACCTGCAGCCAGCTGAATGACGTAACCAGCAAGACTTCAAAATGAATATTAATGAGAGGTTTGTTGCCTAAGCTATTTGACCAATCGCGTGATCCGTAGTTTATTTACTTTGGCACGACGTCATCACAAAAGTCTGGGCGCTCGACATTTTTCATTTCTCTGGGATCGAGGACATGCGACACGCCAAAAATAGCCTAGGAGGAGGATGAAGCGCCGAGAAAGGATAACCGATTTTTTTGCTTCAAGGCCAGTAACGAAGAAATCACGGAATTTAAGAAGTTAGAAAATTCACCCTTGTTTTCACCACCTGCTCATGATACTGCCTGGCGGCGGGATCGGTGTACTTTTTCGGGCTAGGCCTAGGCCCTAGGTCTAGCGTTGCTAGGTAGGGTAGGGTCGTAGCCTATTTAGGCCTATTATTTGCGAACGATTTTATTATTTATTTTGTAATCGAGCTAGCATAGGCCAGGGCCTAGGCTAGCAAGGAAATAAACTTGGTAATGTTTTCACGTTTCGTCAGAATTAACTGACATTATTCATAATAATATATTTATTATTTTTTCTCAATATATCATAATGTGCAAGGTTTGTGTTTTGAACAGTCACCTAGTGGGTATTGCTAATTTTATCCCAGTTATATTTTTAGAGATAACATTACATAGTAGCATTAAAATGTTAAGCATTGCTTTTTAATAAAAAAAAAATAAAAAAAGTTTGTTTCACAATAAACATTTACGTTCTAAATCCTGTATTGGAAAAAGTAGTCTTCTTATCTTATTTTTAAAATTGTGTAAGAAGTATTTAAATATACATGAACATGCATTTAAATGACATGTACATGCTTTTAAAATCGTATAAATGCTCTGGCTTCGGGGGCTTCGCCCCCGGCCGCCACAGGGGCTTAGGCCCCCTTGACCCCACCTGGGGCCCTTTGGCGGGCCTCTGGACCCCACGCCCAGAACCCCCCCTTGAAGCATGCTGGCTACGGGCCTGTAGTATAATAATATGTAATATGTTTGACTTACAAAGCACTTCAACAAGCCATCTAAACGCTTCACATAATTACCCCCCACCCCCCCTGTCATTGGATCAAAGACAGTTTAGTAATCAATGCAATTTGAACCTACCGGGTACCCATTTGCGCTCTTGGGTAGAGGGAAACAACTGTATGTAAATTGCCTTGCACAAGGGCAAGCAAAATGCACAGTGAAGGATTTAACCACCGACCTGAAAGTTGAGAAGCAACCGATTATCTTGTGTAGGCCTACTTTTATAGAGCTACATAAGTTTTGGTATGTGGGTCATTAGGACCTTAGTGGATTAATGCCCTAACCATGGTATTCGCACCATTAGGACCTTTGTGGATTAATGCCCCTACCCCATGATGCATAGTTTGGTTAGGTTGGGGTATGCGCATCATTAGGACCTTAGTGGATTAATGCCCCTATGCCATGATGCATAGTTTAATTAGGTTGGGGTATGCGCGTCATTAGGACCTTAGTGGATTAATGCCCCTACCCCATGATGCATAGTTGGGTTAGGTTGGGGTATGCCCGTCATTAGGACCTTAGTGGATTAATGCCCCTACCCCATGATGCATAGTTGTGGTTAGGTTGCTTTGATTATTTTGAGAGAACTACACATGTACCAATGAATTTCCTTTTAGACGAAATATAATATACTTGTATTGTAATATATCTTATATAGTAGATTCATTCCTAGGCCTGGTCTAATATTTTGTCAACTTTCTTTCAGTACCTCTTGTCGGTAGACAGACGCAAACTGAACGAAACTCTTCTTTCTGGTATGGTTAGTTTTCCTTGTTTTGTTGTAAAAGTTATAATTCATCTTTACAGCAGAGTTGATACATTTCTGATTATCATAGTAAAATTGTTATCTCACCTGGTGTTACCAGCATATTTATAATAATAAAAATCTGTATACCACTCATATTTATGATAAAGATGCTCATAAAAAATTACACTTTCAGCCATATTAACCTGCTAGATGAGTGTCTATGCCCCAGGGGGCATACAAACACAAAAGCTAAAAAAAAAAATTTTTTTTTTAGCTGCTGCCAGCTTATTTATTGACTTAAGTTTACAGATCCAACAAATACTGAAAGATATTTTAAACTTTTTTACTCTTAATTTTAGCCGGAGTCCATTCTACCCCCTCCCCCACCGCTGCACCACCCCCTGTCTATTATCATTCAACTAGAAATCCTTTAAATGCTTTTCAATTATAAATAGTTTACAGTATTTGACATTTTTTTTTCATAGCTGCTGAGTCAAACTCTGATGTCAACTTGCATTTTAGTCACAAATTGTTGAAAGCAGATTTTAAAGACGGGAAAGCTGTGTTTTTAAAGTGAGTATATTTATGTTGTTGCATAGCTACTGTAGGTGATTACCATGAACAAGCCCTTTGATGTGAAACGGCAGTGAAGGCTTGTAGGACCGAGTTACGCTAAATCAGTTTCTTAAGAGTTTCCCCTCGGTTTTATCAACCAGACTATCTCACAATGATGAAATATCAGTTGTAGAATAGTACATCACAGTGATCTTTCAAACTTAGAAAATATTATTATTATATTATTGCCATATAAATCTTGCTGGTGGTAGAGGGCAATATATAGTCATTAATCATTTATTTATTGTAGATTACAAACTTTGCTTTGGATTTAAGCCTAGGGTAAAACATTGTTAAAAAGGTAGGCCTGCAGTAGTATATAGTCAGAACTTCAAAATAGGCCAAGTCTCTACTACACCTACTACTACTCTAAACTCAAGAGGCATGGTCCATCCTCCTGGAAGGTGGTGTTGTGTTTGTATTGGCATGGAGGTATTATTGAGAAGGAGATCACTCGAAAAAGCTACGTGCACGCAGAGCTATGCAAATGAACCAAGAACAAAGCTGCCGCAGCGCGTGAAGAAGGTTTGCCTTTGAAGTCTAATGTGTTCCCCGCCACCAAATGCTCAACAGGCTTTGATTACCAGAAGGTTGAACACAGCGAAATGGAGAGCATGTTCTTTTCTCAATGCGCACTACTTACAGTCAATCACTATGGCTGCGCAATCGTTTCTATCTTGAAGCTAATACATTGATCTTTCAAGAAATACTAAACATAATAATATTTTCTACAAAAAAGAGTTTCGAATTTAATGAAACATTTATATCAGCTTTAAAAGTATGGTATATTGCAACTTGAATTTCCATAAATTGGATAAAACCCAAAATTCCAATTTTAACAGATATTAATTAAGGAATAATGGAGGATTATAATAAACTAAGTCATTTTAGGGTTAACGAGGGTTAACTATTCAAACATTCAATCCAGAATCAGAGTAATTTTCAGTTTTACGCTGCCTTAGCTTTATAGTCAAACAAATCGATCTTTAGACAAAATTATACACATAATTACATACTTAAAGTCCGAAAAAATCCAATAAGGGGAACATTGTTTATTATAAAGATATTTAATGGGTTAAAATCAAACACTTTATCGCACAACTGCTGTGCTAGAGCGTGTAAACGCATGTCGTTGCCAAGTTGTGAATTATAGGGTAATACGCCCGCGTGCGATCCAAAGACGGGGAACACATTGTCGCGTCAAAGGGATCTGTTGCCGAGTGATCTCCTTCTCAATAATACCTCCATGCTATTGGTATACCGTCTAGCCTAAGAATAATAATATTTTAGGCCTGTTTTATTATTATTATCTATTTTTCAGTCCTGCCCTTCTAGTCGACGCGAGTGACTCAGTTTTGTGGCTCCGAAAATGTGAACATTGTGATTGGTTGAAATTGTTTATTTCGGTCCGCCCATTTATCCAGATACGGATTCAGAGTTTTACAAGTCGCTTATTCCTTATTTAAATGAACTTTCTCGTTGGTGGCGTTGTCCAGAATGAGAAAAATAATAAAAAAAAGAAACTTGTGGCAAGTCTATTTTAAATGGTGATAATTGCACAAAAATATAATGCTTTCCTAGATCTTGAAGTATTGTGTCTTATTAAGTACTGCTGTTTATCGCTAATAGCTTTACTCAGGATTCTTTTTGTTCATTAATACGGCCAGTAGTTCTGAAGGAAGTGAAGTTGAGGTGACTGCTGATCTCATTGTTGGGTGTGACGGGGCTTACTCCACGCTACGTAGACAGATTATGAAAGCAACACGCTTGAACTACAGTCAGGAATATATTCCGCATGGCTACATGGAACTCACGATCCCACCAAGCAATGATAACACGGTATTGTTGTAACTTGATGTGTCATTTTCATTCTGTTTTTCGTTTTTTTTAAAATTTATTCTTTATTTATTAATGTCTTGGCAAAATGGTTAAGTTTTCACCCAGACCAGTAACAAGTAAATGACCTATAACATATGAGAGCTCAAAAAATGACCTAAAATTAAAAATTGTTTTCACTATAGTTTTAAAGTTTACTGTCTAAATTAATCATGTCCCAACGTCTTATTTTTGGAAATGGTCAAAAAATTGTTTATTTAACGTTATTTTGGAGTGCTGTACTTTCACCTACCAATAACTACCAATAACTAAAGCTTGAAGTGTCCAATTTTAATGAATGCCATTTTGCCGTAACATGCCTCATATGACAAGTTTGATTTGTTTATAAAATATATTTTCCAGTAATCTAAAATAATATATCTCTGGTTACCGTTGGCGGTGATGGTGTAACACCATACATCAGTTAGGGTGCTAGCCTGGCATTTTTGTTTTTTCCTTGCTTATTTAGCCTTTTTTTCGTTGTCTTCTTAACTGTTTTCCTGCATGTAGAGACCTGGTTTATATGTGCTCGATAAATCCATCTATTATTATTGCTGCTGCTGCTGCAATTAATAATTATTATGACCTATTAATTATATTGTAAGATAACAAACATAAAGGGAAACTTATTTTTATATTTCTGATTTATAATTTTTATGTAAAAATTACAATCAAGGTTTCCACTAGGACTGTTTTTATGGTGTTTATAGCTTCAATAAGAATGTGAACCATGAAACTGTGGATCTGCTATTACTTGTGTTTTAATGCAGTTGACAATTTAAATTTAACTTCCTTACTTGAGAGAATGAATGTTTTTGAATTTGTTTCATCTGTGCCATAGAGGGCAGCATGTAATTATGGTATAATAAAAAATCATTGATATTTTTGCAATCCAGTTTCAGATGGAACAAAATTTCTTGCACATCTGGCCTAGAGGGCAGTTTATGATGATTGCACTCCCCAATCAGGATAAATCGTTCACCGTGACACTATTCATGCCTTTTATAATGTTTGAGTGCATCAGGACAAGAGAGGACCTCCTGAAGTTCTTTGAGGAACAGTTCAGGGATGGTCTTCGTCTGATTGGTAGAGAAGAGCTTTGTGAATGTTTTTTCTCCAGTAAAGCTCTGCCACTTATCAGCATTAAGGTAAGAACAAATGACAGTACATTTCATGAAGATCTGAGTGCTCCAAACATAGACTATGTAGCCCATTCAGTAACTTTCTTCTCCCTAAAGGGTCTCTTCGTGTCTCAGCCTCCCGGTAAACCGGTACATGCTGCTACTCGTGTCCACAACAGGGCTGTATGGACCAGTATTCCGGGTTCCTTATAGTGCACATCAGCCAATTGTACACTGGGCCTACAGTTTCTAGTCGTTATCTGAGGGAAGCTTGCCGTTGAATCAGTGCCGATATTATGGCTGTAGGTTGCAGCACCCCATGGGCGAATCTGGGTTGAAATTTAGGAGGGGTCAGAATGTTTCCAAAAAAATCCAAAAAAAAAGGGGAATTTTGATTCCTTTGTGGCGGGAAATAAGCTTTCCCAAATTCTGCGGTGTCTTTTAATGACTTTTAAGTACTCCAAAATTCAAGGTTTTCCCCTCTTGAAAACGGTCAGGTAAACGTTCTTATTCTTATTACAGTAAATGGGCCTGAGTCTATACAAGCAAAAATTGAGTAGTTGCATACATATTCTGTTTTCCATGAATGGATGAACCTCAAAGAGAACGGGGTGGTCGGAAAAATTCCCTCTCTTGAAAACAATTCAATGAATCTCAAATTCTAATGTTCCCATTGTAACAACCCCCTCCCCTGATCCCCCTCAATCCCTTCCCCTCCCCTGATCC